CTCGTAAACCTCCACAAACCTAGGTTGAGAACTACCCCCCATTGAAGAAACTCCGAATTAGCCCCGAAACTTTATGAATTAGTTATGGAATGAAGTAGTACCTCAGTATGTTGGAATGCCTAAAAGAGGAAGGTACATCATGGGAGGAATCCCCAAGCCTAGAGCTTTCAACCTTAAATTTACATAACATGTTCTAGGATTCGCTCATGGAAGTTATTGTAATAAAGAGAATCAAAAGAACAAGATGAAGGTAAGAATGCACACCTAAGAAAAAAAATTTAAGACCAGAAGATAGGATCGCCAAAAAAAGAGTATATAGCACAGTAGGTAAGAAGCAACGAAGAAAAAATTAAGAAATGAATCTGCAAAGAGAAAAAAACGTATTTATAGGTTCCAATAAGGTAAGAGATCCGTCGAATTATGTGCTTGAACAATCTTAATTGTCCACATGGCGACTATCGAATATTGAGAGATGCCTGATCAAGAATTCAAAAGGAATGGACACAATCGCATGTGAGCACGTGTATTAAATACGCTCATGTCACTAACCTAGAAACATGTCAACAGGCTTGTAGCGCATTTAAAAATTTGCTATAACACATCCCTCAACAAAGCTCACATCATCTACAACAAACCAAGAGTAATAAAATCAGACTTTGTGAAATTGCGAGGGATAGAAATACATAAAAGGCTCGCACTAAGCATAGACAAGCCATTCCTCCACTCAGTCTGGCTAAGAATCGTTACTAAAGTGCATATAGGCAAGTGTTCAAAAGAGTGACTTCAAAACCAATAAATGCAAGACACTAAGCTAATGAATTAAATGTAATATTATAACAGAATCAGTTATAAGCGAGTCAATAAAATGCAACCATTTGTTTTTTTTTTTTTCCAAATTACCAAACTGCCCCCAAATCATTGAGGAAAATATATAGGTGCTCCAGCTTGAGAGAAGGAAAACCATGCAAATTAAAATACCTTCCTCCTAAATAGTCATTTCTCCTGTTGCTTCAATTTGAACATTAAATTCAGTGAGTTTAGAGGCAAAAATCCTAGTTAGGTAAAAGTAATTTGTAGATCTGATTTTTATCGTCAACAACGTATCCAAGATATAAGTGATTTTCTTTAATAATTTAGATTTTTTAATGAATTGATTCAACAATTTTAAAAAATATTTACGAGATTGATTAGGTGCTATAAATAATAGTTAACAAGATATACAGTTAGAAATTTCAAAAAAAATAAAAATTGAGGAGGTTTGTGCTTAAAAATATGCACCAATGTATGAGTTATTTTTAATGTGGACTTACTCGCATTCAAAATAAGCCACACACTTCCAATAGTCTAGTAAAAGTAATACCAGTCCCCCAGGGCACATCCAAGTTGGCGGAACAATCACATTGGGGGGCTCTGGAACCAAGTGTGGGGAGTTCGATTCCTGTTTGGAGCAGCCAAGTGATGTAATAACCAGAGGAAGGGTTGGACCAGCTTGGTGATGTAATAACCATGGAGGAGGGTCTCTTTGGGGAAGGAGTAAAAGCCATGTGGGAACTTGGGAACCAACAAGGGCACAACCTGCGATTTACCTTCACTAGTCACTGAGGGGCCGGGGGCTAGAGGTCCAGGATTTAGTCCGGCTAAGCTGGGACACCTGGGTTATCAAAAAAAAAAAAAAAAAAAAAAAAGGGTAATACCATAAGTAAATGAGTTCTGCAGCCTGTACAGGACCTGTACAGGCAACACACAATATAGGGGGTGGGGTAAATTTTTTTTTTAAATAATCACCTAACCCCCACGCCCCTCACTCAGCATGTGAGGAGCAGGAATTTTCCTAAGCAGATATTACATTATGATTGTGAAATCCACAAATATGTAGGGATAGGGATTATTGAAACTAATTATTGATCTCAATTCATGCTAAGCCTTTTTAAATTTTCTAGTTTTAATTAACAAGATTGATTATTGAAACTAATTATTGATCTCTAGTCTTAATTAGCTTTTGTTTTTGTTCAAATGGGTAATAATCACGTCAAATCATTATGATTGCGTATTAAGATTCTAAAGTAATTTTAAAATGAGAGAAAAAATAGAGAAAGGCGTGGATAATCAATAAAATAAAGAAAAGGTTCCAAGTCATTATAGTGACTATCAATTTATATAAATAAAAAAAGACTGGTCTACTCTTAGTTATGGAAGCCGGGCCGTTTAAAAAAAAAAATGAAGAAGAAAAATCAAGCTGCCTGTTTGGCAGCTACAACGATGAAAAAAAAAAAAGCAGAAAAATAAAAATAGAAACAAATCGAAAGCTCGGGTCGAGCCTTAAGTTTTTGGCCAAACTTTTGCTTGGCTCAAAAAAAAAAAAAAGCTGGACTTTAAAAGCTCGAGCCTAGTCGACTCTGGCACCCCTAGATGGGACTATACAAACATGACCTCCAACCAATAAAATCAAAATAGGTAACTAGTTTAAAAGAATGGGAGTAAGGCGTTGAAAAATATCGACATCACAGGATTAAATCCATCAATGGCCACCCAACTCTCTATTTGGTGTCACCATGATCACTCAATTTGATTTTGTTTCACCATGATCACCCAACTTTATACTTAATATCACTATGGCCACTTTAATTTGATTTTATTTCACCATGACCATCCGATTTCATATAATATTTTTATCATGGCCATTCAATTTTATATAATGCTTCACCATGACCACATAACTTTTTTTCACTAATTTAAAAGTAGTAAAATGGTAACTTTGCATTATATACATAAAATAAAAAAATACAAAATTATTTAAAAAATTACTTAGAAAAATAAAATAAAAACTTATTTTTAATAAAAAGGTTTTTAAAATGAAATAAAAAAATTTTAAAAAAATTAAAATTAAAAATTAATATAAAATAAAAAGTTAATTATAAATAAATGTTCCTAATAAAATAAAATAAAATAAAAACTTATTTTAAAAAACATTACTTAGAAAAATAAAATAAAATAAAAACTTATTTTAAAATAAATGTTTTTAGAATAATAAAAAATATTTATTTTTTAAAATTTATTTTATATATAATACAAAGTTACTGTTTTACCGCTTTTAAAATTAGTAAAAAAAAAAAATTGAATGATAATGGTGAAATGTTATATGAAATTAGGTGGTCACGGTAAATCATTATATGAAATTAGGCAACCATGATGAAATAAACTCATATTTGGTGTCCATAGTATCATTAAGTACAAAATTGAGTGGTCACGATGAAATTAAATCAAATTTGGTAGCCATAGTAGCACTAAACCCCTGTTTGGTGCAAATTAATATTCAGATTTTAATTTAAATTAATGTCAATAACTAATTTTAACCACATTTCATATGATCCACAAATTTTTAACCACACATTTCATCAACTTTTATTAAAACTTATTAAAAATTTAATTTTAATTTCTATCAAATGGGGACTAAGTATAAAGTTAGGTGACTATTGATGAATTCAGCCCCAAAATCACAACTTATTTCCATTTTTCGTGCTTTGTGTCAAAGTTCACCTCCTCATTTTAAGTTTCTACTCTTTATCATAATCTTTGGTGTCATTGTCATAGTATGCTAGATAATATAGACCCAAGTAAAACCTCTATTTGAATTATCGTGACTCTGTCATTATCCTCACATAAATGCTGCACAAACAAAGATTAAAAATAAGAGAAATAACAGGGTTATTACACAATATGTGATTGAGTGTTTTTATATGTTTTTTCAGTTGTGTTATTTGTACAGACCTATTTGCACAAGGTCTGTATAAATGCACACACATGGGAGTGGATCCCACACATAGGATCAACATGTGGGCTCCACTCCCATGTGAGAGCCCCTGTACAAATCCTGTGCAAAGGGATCTGTTTAGGGAGCTTTATTCATGTTTTTTCCCCAATTTTCAATGAAAATCCAACAACTATTTTCTGGAAAGGGGAAAAAAAATAAAATTTGTCATTGACTCTAACTGTATAGCATGATTGTTATCCTCATGTCCTTGCCCATAGCTAAGATTTGTGCAAATTCAACTAAACTGATTTCACCTGCCAAATGCCAGAATAATACTATCTAGCACTAGTAACACCAATTTATGTTACATTACATAATAGGTTCAATTAAAGATGAAATTATGTGATTTATTTAACTATACATTTCATATAATGACACTTAGTACCACCTAAACCAGTATTGTATCGCCATTGATACTAACATTACTCTAAGTGCGAAAGTTCTGTCTCATTATTTCTCTTTTATGAGGCTTTCTAAATAAGAGGATAATTTGTTGCCTTAAATCTGAGAAATATCTCTTCTAGATAGATGCCAGTTCTCGAATTCACTCGACCAAAGTAACGAAGTCTCTATTTAACGAGTACCAATAATATTTACTTCTAATGCCTTATTATTGATTCTCCAATGGATCAAACTTCAATATTAATTATACATTTCATTAAATTTCATTAAAATTTGCTAAAACTATTATTAAAGACAACGCCTTAATAAAATTGCTTTAATAAAAACACATTATTATAACGTCTCCAATCGTGATGTAAAATAAGTTTAAATTGTTATTCAAATCTCCAAAGTGGTAGAAAACTCTTCAATTGAGAAGTGCAAAGGAAATGCAAATTACGTTTTTAGGCAGAAATTGTAAAATGCAAAAGGGCGCATTTAGATCTTTCCACTTGTGTAAAATTTAAATTTAGATTCATAGAGATGTAAATAAGTATGTAAAAATGATTTTAAAGAAATTAATTTGTACCCAATTTTACATCACCGTAAAAGATGCTCTTATGCATCTTAGTTAATGCAAGTGCGTGCCAGGAAAGACGATGGAAATTGTCGTGTTATTTCCTCGCTTCCACTTTTCACACTTCAATTTCGATTTTTTTATTTTTATTTTTATTATTATTTATTATTATTATTATTTTTTTTTGGCGCTTCATATTCATGTAGTTATATATACCCTACCCAGGACCAGCTAGTGCTCCAAGCTTTCTTCTCTACTTGACTAAGGAAAACTCACAAAGACAGTGGTTTGACCTTAATGGCTGAAGTGATCCTTCACGTATATGACGTTACAGAAAGTAATTCCGGCAATGAAACCATAAATTTCGCCCTCGTTCAACTCAACAATCTCTGTAAAGAGGCCATCCCAATGGGCGGCGTCTTTCACACCGCCATTCAGGTTTACGGCGACGAGGAATGGGGCTATGGGGGTGGCGAAAAAGGCTTTGGAGTTTACAGCTGTCCCGCCGGCAAAAACCTGATGTACACATACCGTGAACGTATAGTTCTCGGAAGAACAAATTGCTCCGCCGCCAAGGTGAGTCAGATCCTAAAAGAACTTAGCCAGGAGTGGCCGGGAGATAAGTTCCACTGGCTGTCGAAAAACTGTAACGATTTCAGTAACGAGTTGTTGAAAAAGCTGGGAGTGCCGAAGCTTCCGGCATGGGTAAATAGGTTTGCTGACGTTGGAGATTATTACTATGAAACGAAAGAAAATCTGCAAAAAACTAAAGATGGAATGGTAGATTATGGGAAGGAGTTGTATAAGAATGCCATCGATACTGCTATTAAGACTCCAAAATCTCTTATTAGTTTAAGCAAAGGTGCTCGACTTCGGACTGAGCAATTCAAGCCAAAGTTCTTGGCTGGGAAATCAATTACCGGATCAGATCAAGAAGCCAGCCAGAAGTAAATCTTCTCAGGTGCCGGAACTTGTCCCGATCAAGACCATGCAAAATGATGGCCTGGTCAAATTGCGCTTCTTCTAGATTCGAGTCCTAGCTCTGTGTGTCCGTGTCCGTGTCCTTGTTCGTGTTCGTGTGGTGTGTTTTTTTCCCGAGTCCAGCTATCCATTTCTCTTATTATGAGTGCAGTGTAATTGTGTAATGCATAATTACATCAATATTACTTTGATTGTAGCTTCATGGCCTTCTTCTTTACCCAAATCTGTGGACAAATTTAATTGATCAAATTTAATCACCAAAAAAGCGAATATAATTAACTTACTTCAACAATAATTGTCTTCGAAGTTTTTTTATTAGAAGAGAAAAAATAAATATATTTTCCTTGAAACATATGGTGAATGCTCAACGGAGAAGGACCAAAACTAGTTAATAACATTTAGAAAACTGTAGAATAGTATAAACGGAGATGATTGTTTATATTTAAAGTAAAAAATAAAATTTTGTGGTCGACCCTGCTAGTATTATCAGCACTAAAGTAAATTCCTAAGGATTCAAAAAAATAAATAAATAAATAAATATCTCTAGAAAAATATATATATTCTTGAAGTTAAATAAAGGAAAGCAACTTTATAATTAATAAGCTATTAGAAAACGGTTTTGCTAGTGGTATATTGGGGTGTACCTAATGGTGTACACCCCACTCACTTGGGCGAGGGATTCACTCGAATAAAATATCCTTTCTTTAAAGTGAATAGTCAATAAATAAAAATAATTAGGTAATGAAACAAGAAATTGTAATATTACAGTAATGGTTTACAGTTAGTGTACATTTAGAAAATAAAAAGAAATAATCAAACTGACAAGTAATATGTGAAAAAGCAAATGATTGAGAAAACATGGATTACTGACCTATAAAAGAAAATGTGAATACTCTCTCTAATTAGAAGAAATGAAATGAATGAATAAATAAAAAATAGTATTAAAAGTAGAGATGGATCGCATGTGTATTATTTATTTTTTTGCCTTCAATGCACTCTGTGACTCATAGGCAGAATTCATTTTAATATTCTATCTTGAGGCCGCTCGCTCAAGTAACTCAAGGTTTTAGGAAAAAATTTACATCGCATTTCAAAAATCGAGCAAATAATCTTCGAAGAGAATCTGTTAATTATCGTCGACAATATTTTTGCAAATGACATATGTAAATAATATTAGTCAGCAATTTCAGTGAGAATTACCGATATTCAGTGAAACAGTTCCATCTATATCTACAAACGATAACATCGTTGCAAATAGAGAACCACCTACAAAATTTTCAAGACAAATATCATCGATTATAAATGATACTCACCTTTGTAAACCATTATTTACAACAATGTAGTTGATTATTCTTCAAATTTTGATTGTTGATAGAGATTGTTGGTGTCACCAAATGTAAGTTTACTCTTTCTTTATTATTTGTTTTTTTTTTTTTAAATTAGATTCTAACTGAATATTCATCGATATTTAATGGATCACGTGCATTATTTATTTGGGCCTTCAATGCACTCTATGACTCGTATACAGGATTCATTTCAATATGGGCAACTTATAAAAATACCCTTAAAATCACGAGTCTTCTGAAAAATCATATAAAAAAAATTTTTGAAGTAAAAAATACTGTATAAAATTAAAAGGTGACACAATGTCACTTTGTATAAAAATTGTGTCACTTTTTTACTTTTTTATAAAACAAAAAAAAAAGTGACACTATGTCACTTTTATAAAAAAAGTGATATTTGTTACTAAAACAAATGATAAAAATCTCAAAAAAACTGTTGAAAAAAGTAACAAATACTAAAAAAAGTGACACAAATATTCAAAAAAAGTGACAAACACTCAAAAATTGACAGAATTTAGAAAAAGTGACACAAACTACAAAAACAAAAAAAAGTGATAAAATCAGCGTAGCCCAACCACTTCGAGGCACAAGGTCTTTTGTCGTCTTGATCCATTATCAATGACTTAGCTCCCATTTGATAGTCATTTTTTCAAAATGTATTTTTTTTCTCTTTTTTTCAACCACACATTCTTTATTAAAATAATATTACACATAAACAAAAAAATCTTATTTTTCAACCACACATTTCACATCAATTTACTATTCTAAAATGCATTTTTAAATAAAAATGACTATCAAACACCCTCTATACTACATAATAGTACACAATACCCCTAAAAGGAACATCAATGTGTTAAAATGAACAAAAAGGGGCTCATGAAAAATACCATCAACGAATCCATAGTCACTGCACTAACTAAAAACTGAAGAACATTGTTTTGACACTCTAACAATTTTAATCCAAATTTTACATAATCAATGAAAAACAATGTTTATATAAAATGAAAAACAATTAAATGCGACAAAACCAAATTACACGTAAAATAGGAGCAACACAAACATAAAAAGAACCCATTCAATCAGAAATTGTAAATTAACATCTGCAACATAATACCGTCAACATACGATTTTCAAACACCAATAACCACCTACCACCTACACTTTCAATACACCAGAACAACCTAAGAATCTACCACCAACAACTACAACACAGAAATTTGTGAAATAGCCTTCATTTTGATCAGTATCCAAACCCATTAACCACAAGAAGATGACATTGCAAATCAGTAGGACCTCAATCCCATCTAATATAGCTTCAGAATTCTACTCTGTTGGACACTGTATGCCCTGTGAAGATGGCCATTAATAACAGTCTTGCTCAAAACTCTGGGATGCCGATGAAGAATTTTCCATGAAGAAGTGAATCTTAGGGTTCGTTAATTTTGGGGACTATTTGGAATCGTTTGGGGGGTTTCTCAATTGTCATTACGTGGTTCTAATTAGGGATTTGGGTTGTTTATTTGGAGGAGGAGAGTATAAAGTACTCTTTTTTTTTTGGAACGTATTTAATACGTGATTAAATGTTTTAATTAGTTTTAATAGTACTTTTAAAACTCTTATTTTGGGGGGTATATGGTCTCTCTTGAGGCGGCTCGAGTAATTCAAGGATTTTAGGGAAAATAAAAAATAAAAAAAATAATTGCATGGCATTTAAAAATAGAGCAAAAAATCTTTTGAAAAAATTGTGTCAATAATTGTCGACGATACTTTTGTAGATGATATATGAAAAATAATATTAGTCAACAATTTCAATGAGAATTATAGATACTCAACGATGCAATTCCATCAATATGTACAAACGACAACACCGTACCAAATGGAGAACTACCTATAAAATTTTCAAGACGGATATCATCAATTATAAACAATACGCACCTTCGTAAGCCATTACTTACTACAATATGGTTGATTATTCTTCAATCCTCAATCGTTGATAAAAATAATTATTGGTGTCTACAATGTAAGTTTATTCTTTCTTTATTTTTTGTTTTATAAAATAGTTTCCAACTGAATATTCGTCGATATTTAAGATATCTTTTAAATTTTAATTTTAATGGAATATTCGTCAGTATATAAGATATCTTTTAATTTTTAATTTTAATATTATTGCCGAGTTTTTTTTGTAACTATTATTTTGTTACCAAAAATTTTCAAATATTAAAATTTTATTTTATATTTTTATTAACTTATTTAGAGATAAAATTTCGGCAATAAATTAATTTTATAATTTTTTTAATATTATATACTGAAAACTTAAATTAACTTTTTGCCTGTTATTTTACTAACATAATTTTTTTAAGGTATTTTATCTTTTTTATAATTTTATTCCAAAACGGAAGTTTAAGCGAGAAATTAAATTTTTCGAAATTTATTTGTTCTACAGAAACTCTTATGTAACGTCAGAATAAGTAGCTTTATTGAATTTGGTCTTAATTTTATTTTCAAAATTTACTTAGTTACTTGTAAGTAAACTGTTTAATCTTAGTTTGTATCATTACTTTCAATGAGAAACTCGTATACTTGCAAACTTCGCTTCAGAGTTATGCAAATAATTTGAGGTACATTCTCTAAAACAAAATAAATCTTCCACGAAAATTCATTCTCGCATTCATCTTAGAGGAGGGGATGAAGGTATCTATTGCTTCGACTTTTAAAGATGCACACTATGCAAGATTCTGTGTTAAAGCATATTCTCTACGTTTGTGTAGATCCGAACATTTTAAGTGTACATCAGAGGCTCAACACTCGCATTTTCATTTTAAATGGGATGAAGCTATGTTGGTATAAAAGGGCGGATGCTTCCCACCACGGGGAACCGATACTAACTTTATTGACTCAATCCAACATTGGCTTATTGATGTGATTATTTTAGATAGCGTCTTTTAGAATTTTAATACAAGTTTCAAGGATACATTTTTATCGAAGAAAATGAGGACATAGATGTGTGTGTATAAAATAAAGCATAGTTTAACCATTTTTTTATTATTTACTAATGATAAGTGCCTTTTAATAATTTTTAGAAATTTATAAGGACAAAGTGAATTGTTATTTAAGTTTGTGTTAGGTTTTTCTTTTTTATGGGTGCTGAAACATTGTGTTGATTGGCTTTGTTTGATTAAAAATAATATAAAAAGTTTGGATTAATCTTGTTTTATATTACATTGTACATAAGGGTGTCCATAATGGACACCCGGCCCCTCGGCATTGGCCGAGGAGCCTGTGGGCCCGTGCATGGCAGGAGCCTCGGCCAATGCCGAGGCGTCGGGTGCCCATTATGGACACTCTTATATACAATGTGATGTACATATAGCATCTTCCAAAAAGTTTTAATGGTTTGGTCAAGTAAGACTTCCACGAAATTGTAAGCACCGTACTTTAGTGTATATTTGGCAAAGCGGTTTTCTTTTTTTTTTATATTATTATTATTATTATTATTTTTTTTTTTTTGTAGTTTATAAGTTGTGAATTTTACATAATATATGAATAAAATTGTGAATCATACCAAATATATTGATAAAATATAAGTTTGGCGAATCATTCCCAAACATGATCTTAACCTATATTTCCCTCTATATTAGGGTGTAGGGTTCTTTACTCATGAGGTTAAAAATAAAAGTTTGAACAGATTGATAAATATTTAAAAGTACTTGACGATCCATTAAATAAAGTGCACCCGTTGATAAATCACTAATAATCAATAAGACATATATTATTATTTTAATAAGGCTATAATGAGGCATGTTACCGGAAATTTCGTCCAAATATGATACGTAAGAAAGTGAAGTGACGAATGTAAGTA